AAAAACCACTGAGGCATGTGCCTCATACTCGCCATGGCCTTGGATAGTGCTGCTTTCCACAGGTGAGGACATAAGTGGAACTTAGTTACTGACATATTAATAAAACTCATTTAATAATAAAACATACTTATCCTGAACTTCTTTGGCAAAACCAAAATCTGTGAGTTTCACATGTCCTTCTCTGTCAAGGAGAATATTCTCGGGCTTGAGATCACGATACACTATACTATTGTGATGGAGATAATCAAGGGCAGATACTATTTCAGCTCCAAAAAATAATCCTGTCCCATTGTTAAATCTTCCTGCTGTACGAAGGTAAGTGAAAAGTTCACCACCGCAGGCATACTCCAGAAGCATATACAAGAATGTGTTATCATGATGCGTCCATAATCTGCAAAGTACAAAAAAAAAAAACTGTCAGCAATGGAAGGAACCTTGCATACGGCTGGCACGCCTGAAATTTGAATTGACCAATCATGATTCAGCAGGCGGCGATAACTTTACTGTCCTGACGTCAATGTAAGTTAACAGGAAAGGCATTGAAATCAGGCTACTTTTCTCACTGCAGATTGCATTAAATATTCACGAAAAGGGATTTACAATTCCCTAAACCATATTATATTGTAAAAAGTGAAAAATATGAAACATTTTGTGTCTCTAAGCTTCTAATTTGGCACCAAAGGGTCCCCAGCGTCCGGCATGGCAACTCGCTTGTAGTTCATCAAGTGTCGCCAGGTAGGATAATAGTTGTCTTATTTTGAACAAAATATGCTGTTCCTTGTCAAATTAAACTCAGAATTCTCAAGTTAACTATGAGAAGAGGCCAAAGCAACTTAAGCATTGTCCTTATTTTTGTAGGCGGCAAAGAAAAAGGCTATTATCATGTTGTTTCAGTAGGACAGCTCAGTTTTAACTGACACTCCTACTGCAGGAGCAACCACCATATGCAAGGTATACAGAATGCAATCGCTAATTGTGTGAACACTGCAAGGGTGTACGCTGGGCCTGGGCAGAGGGCTTGAAGCTGAATGCTTGGAAAAACTTTTGCCAATGGGTCTTTTTAATCGGATGGAGCTCAAACTTTCCACAATGATAACTTATTATGCCAAACAATCATATTGATTTTGTTTTTTTTTGATTTTAACAGTTTTTCGCAGGAAAATGATGTCACAGTGCTAAAGGCAAATTCCCTGTTATGGCACAAAAAGTATATTACTCTGAAAGAACTCATTAAGATAAAGTGAAATGCACAAAAAAACATTGAAAAAAGCTTAAAGATAATAAAGTTTGTAAGTTTGAATTTTCTGTGATTTTGTTACTATTTTCAAAACATCTACAAAATTCGGATCTTTATATCTTCAAGACGGATTGAGATGGTACATGTAGCTAGCTCTTTCAAATTTTACCCAAATTTTTCTGTCACTAATAAATATTTTTAAAAATACATTTCATAAATTTATAAATTCACAAATTATATGTATGTTTGTGTTTTAGTTACTTTTCATATGCCAGTCAAAGTTATTTTTGCCCTCATTACATATCAATCCTTGGCTTACCCACAAAATGAGGGGGTAATTGCCACAAAAATACCTACGTGTAGTTCAGAATATGATAATACACTGTAAATATAAGAGTTTTCTACGTTGACAGTCAAGAATCGCACAACCAATCCAGTCTAGTCTCGCCTTACAGATACTCCTCTGTTATGGACAACCACTATTACAGACAGAAGTTACATTTCCCGGCTGACACTACAAAGAAATGTATGGAAACAACTCCTGGTATTACATGTAAGGGCTTGTGGACAATTCATATGGTCCTAAACTCACATTTTTATTGCTCTAAGTTCTCTTATAACAACAGATAACTAATGGATGAATTGAATGACATTAATTATTAAGCACTCTTGCAATAGTACTTGTTTGTAAACTACTATTTTGACCTGTATTATATGACTATGTATCTAAGTACAAATTAAAAGAAACTAGGGATTTGCAGAAGATAATCCCTAGGTACTTTTAGTTTCCACTAAAATGAGGTCTTCCGAGGCGGCACATAGTGTCGCTCTGTCATGTCACTTGTTTTTAAGCCTGCCTGTCGCCTATTTGGTTACAGACAAATGTCGCTGAACATTGCTTTTTCACAAGAACACACATGTCACTGCAAAAACTAAATTTATGTGCTCCAGAAGATCTCAATATTAAGGTTACTTCCCACCTTCAGAGGCCAAAAAAATCGTTTTTTCTTTTATTTGACAAAATTTAAGTTCGTCATTTTATCTAGTGTTTCCAAAAGAAAAACATTAAAAATCTCAAAAAGCGGCCGAGTTATTTAGAAGGTGGACTAGGAAGGTGTCACAATCTTGTCAACGGACAAGAACCCTGGGAAATTTTCGCAGCAAACACTCATCGCTCATATTTCATGTCATTTGCATATTTTTATTTACATCACGCACTTGACAAAAATTCCTATGTGGAAGCTCTTTACGCTAACTCCTATGGAAAAATCAAAAGCAGAAAAAAGGCCTTGGGTAAAGAAAACAAAAAAAACCAGCCCAAAGAAGAAAGAAAAAGCTCCATATTGTCAAGGTAAGAAAAAAAAACCTTGCTGAAAGCGACAAAGGCCCTTGGTTTGGCCAAACGCTTTCGACAATCTCGGCGTCTGCTGAAGTTCCGGAGTGTTCGAATATCCTTGGAGCAAGTAGCTTAAAAATCAAAGTTAACGTCAGTGCAGGCTGCGAACAAGATTCTTCGTCGGAATCTGGGGGAAGTGATGAAGAAAATGAAACCTACCCAGGGGAACTCATTTCAACAATAAGAGTATTTCTTAAGCAGTCTGTCGATTCCTTAACGTCTTGTTTTTCAGTGGCACATTTTCCCCCTTTAACCTTTTTGGCACGGGTTTTGCCTTTGCCTTTGGCGTCTTTGCCCATTATATTACGTCGCCGTCCTGAATTGAACTCCACTGAG